TGGAGGGATCAGGCTATTTTACACTTTAGAGATTACAGGCCCCGAAAACCTGAGCTGGTAGTGGAAAGATCAGTCAGGTACGTACATTTGAATGCTTCCTTCCCTATCGCATTTAAATACGCAACAGGAACAGGGATTTTCCACGTTGAAGCTAGTCATAGGCGGGAATATTATCTCCTTAGTAATGTCCTCAAGGTCTGGTTGCTAACCAAAATTCTCCATTAAATGTAGCCAACTGCCCAGGGCGGCCATTATGAAGCCTCAGATCTAATGGGAAGTTGAACCTTTGATCTGTTTAGGGTTGTGTGTATTTGCATTTTATAATGAGAAGGGAGCACATGTCCAGGGCCCCTGCAGAAGGTCCTATCTTTGCACATCGGACCATTTACAGACCAAAGCCATATTTTACTGTGAGACATCAGGTATGAGAGTTGGACTTCACCAAAAGCAGAGGGATATTTTGGTATTTGTTGGGCAATCGTAGCTAATCTACATTTTGGCTCATTTTCATTCAAGTACAGGTACCCAAGAGAAATCATAAAAATTAAACACAGAGCAACAACCTCCAGGTTGTCAAACTGCTTGAAATGTGCTCCAGATTTTCACCTGGAAGAGAAGCAAGCAGGGATGTGGGATTTACGTGAGTTTTACCCAAGTGAGCCTCCAAGCATTTCAGAGAGGCTTTGAATTGACAGTGGAGGTCAACATTTGACAGTCCATGTGAAGCTGTCTAAACTTTTTTTTAAGGTCAGTCTTACGTTTTCACACTGCATAACCTGGTCTGATAATTAAAGATAGAGCACAGTTAGTGACTCAGATAGACGAGCCTGCGTGTGTTTCTTAGTAACTACAAAGACTTCAAAAATCAATCGGGCCAGGCCAGCTGAGCTATCAATTTAAGAAGCTTTAGGTTGTGACGTTGCCAATACATTTGGCCCTGTGGTTCATAAGATTCAGGAGAGGGTTTAAAAAACACTTTGCAGCTGGCACAGCAAATATATGCTGAACAAAGACAGAACCGACACAGTATTGCAATGCGGCAAACACTCACCGGGAACTTTATACTGTAAAAGTGACACAAGCACAATATAAGGATAAACCCTGCAAGAGCTGTCGTACACCTATTCATATCGTTGCAGTCCGGCAGAAGCCTCATACATCTAAATATGGTTGATTGCGTATTTTTTCCAGATAATAATGGTCAGTCCCCATGTGGTCTGTTTTTTGAAACAATTATTGAAAAATCTAAAGTGTTAAAAGTCACTTGAGAGCACATTTTATAATTCTCTTGGACACTTTAACTGTCTGAGTGGTTGTATTGAAATTAAATCGACAAAATTCATGGAATTTCAACCACTCGACTGTAAATATTCAATTTGAAATGTCATGTTTGGGGGGGGGGGTGATGAATTAAAAAAAAATTTTTGATCTGATTTATGAATTAATCCCAAAAAATAATGGACCGATTCATTGATTATCAAAAATAATCATTAGTTGCAGCCCAATAACAAAAGCATGGAGACTGGAAAGTGAGCTGTGTTTCATCACTAAGCCAACTGCTTGTTTTTGGCATAATTAGACTTTCCAGGGTTGGCTTGGTGTTTTATGCAAATTAGCAATGTGGTTTAGGGTCTCTTGTCTGGGCTGCTCAATACAATAAGCTAACTAACGCAACAAAATGTTGACAGGAAGAATGAAAGAGGGGAAAAAAAGAGGAATTTGACATCAAACTGATCACAAAATAAGTCCACTGATGTCACAGAAATTAATTTTGCTCCACATTAGAGGGCCCACAGCACCGTACTCAGACATGTACACGACTCTTGGATTAATCTAACCAGAAGCCATATGAGATGGAAAATGTGAATTATTCCCAACAAGCACGTGATGTTTAGGTAAAACACATTCAGTGGATTTCAAATTCCTGAGATGTCACGGGCCAACTATTACTTTTTTTGTTTGTTTTTTTAAGGGGTAGGACTAACACGTCGATACGGAATATTTCCATTTCAGAGAGTTTTCATGGAGAAGTCTCTAGGAATCCTTAAATCTGAAATATCCTCAAGCTAGTTGGCCACCCTCCAAAAAGCAATGCGTGCCATACAGAAGAGGGATGCAGACCTGAATCACACACTCTAAAGACTGCTTAGAACTGCAAAGGGCGAGGCGACGTGCCAAAGAAAAAAAATATCCAAAAAGGTAAAAACTTTCTCAGATCGCGCCTCCCCAAAAGGTGACCTTCACAGTTTTAGATTTTCCAGAATTATTTGAACATGTCTCCTGAGTGATTATTTGTTGAAGGTGCAGTCTTTAATGAGGCGGTGTTCCGATTAGTGCGTTAACATGCGCGTGACTGGTCCCAAATTCCAGCGGTTGACGTCTGCGGGGAGAGCGGAGGGGTGATGACTACATTCGACCTACATTCACCACACCCAGACACCAGGCACGCGTGCTTCCAATCATTACGCACACAAACAAGCTGAGCTCCGTGCGTAAAGCATCGTAAGAAGGGCAGGGAGGACCGGAAGGACTGGATACTGTTGTAATTAGAAGAGCAAAAGTAAACACTTCTGAAGTACACATTTAAACAATGGTGTCGTACAAGATAACCATTGTACCTTTTGTTCACAAGTGACAGGGACAGGTTCACCACAATAAACTTGAATGTTGCAGAAAATGTCATTTGTTTCAGTAGTTACATTCAAAAAAGGGAATACTTATAGTAAGTAAAACACGCTTTGGTGGGGGGGATTTTAATTCTGCACCTTGCCCTTATTTTTCGCGAACTGCTTTCAATTCCAAGGAGAGCTTTGAAATTGTGGATTCCTGCAGGGAGTAGTTTACACAACAGTACGTCTCGTCATCTTAAATCTAAAACGAACCAGTGGAATAGCGTCATGAGGTACTTAGTATTTGCAGCATACCAATTGTTTTACTTTTCTTTTTTCCATCTGTGTAAACTGTGCAAAAATAAAATCCATTCATTTCTTCATTTACTGCCTGTTCTGTGCATTTCCAAATGGTAATACATTTTAAAAAATTAAACTTGACATAAGTAATTAGTCAAAATGATTACATATTCAAGACTCAATGGGAAGCAGTATTGAATGGATTATCCATGCAAAATAATTGAATTCAACCCACAATAGCATTTATAGGAAGATAAATTATTAAGGTGGATATACATAGCACAATCTTTCTTTCTCTTATATACATGTACTGGATATGCTTACGTTCTTATGTTAAGCACAAGCTCATAGCTTTGATTTCCACGAAGATGGCTTGCATATTTCTGGAAAGAGCATGTTTAAATGTCCTGTTTGGGATCAGTTGCTTGTGGACTAAAGCGAATTTTAACTGACAAATTCCGGTCACCTCACCACTTTATGAACAAAATAGACAAACAGAAGAACCACAGAACCATCATGTATGTAAACCTGTCAAAAGCAAGCCATGTCAAGTCCAGTAGGCAGTGCATTTAGTGTCATTCCTTGCAACGTTTTGTCCTATTTGCAACAAGTGTGTTGTCTGTCTGGCTGCGTTAAGTTGACAACCGTTAAATAAGCGAGCATGAAGGTAGAAGAAACAAGAAAACAAAATCCCAAGCCCCCAATGCAAGAGTCAAACCATTAAAAATAACATATGCATTCTAATCTCGCCCCTCACTTACACACAGACAAAGGCACCTCCATATAGCCGTCGATACATGCGCCAGATCTTGTCGCCTCAGGAAATGGGCTTCATTCATCTTGTCTGACTGCAATAAAGCAGTGCCTAAGATTCTATTTCCAATAAACGTCGACTGATTGGAAAACTCATTCTAATATCAATTTCCATCTGGGCCCTTTAAAAGGCAATCAGCATAGCTTCATCTCCGTATATCACAAGCTCCTTGAGATGATGACACAGCATTGGCTCTCTCCTTCTGCATAATGGCCTTCTCCTATCAAGGCATCTGCAATGAATAATACCACCCATGAATGGGCTATTTAGTGCGTGTTAGCACGGACAGAAGCCACTTCTCTGAATACTAATCCTGAAGTTTCACACTTTACATGGGTCTGTCTGCCTGGCTGCATCAGTTTTTCATTTGGCAAAGTGAGCCACTTTGCGTGATTTGGTGACACTTGTAGTTTCTTGACACATTTTGTCCTAAGCGGCAACGCTGATTGGTGATGATTCGTACATCACTTTGTTGTCCTGAGCCCACAAAACAGTCATTTGAGGTCAAAATATAGAAACTTTCTTCCAAACACTGGCAACTTCTGACTACAACATGGAACATAATCTGTTCCGTGATGCTGGTGGACTTTCAAATCATTCTCATTTCAAAACCAACTGTCTCAACTGAAATCATGTCAAGTCAAGTAGGACTTTCCAAACATTACCATGACGGCATGTTACTGTTAAATTGTTCGATGTATTATGTAAAACTTAGTGGTGCTACAGTCAGTCAAACGGCCACCGATCCCGACCGGACAGTTTTTGTCGAAAAGTAAGTCATCGGTATATTGATCAATGCCTTTCATTGCCGACCACAAAAACCAAAAACTCACAGCTCGTACTTTGCAACCTGCATTGAACTCGAGACCAGCCTGTGTGCAGTGTAGCGTCCCCTCCTCCTTTCCTTAACACTGCACATTACAGACCAAACCAGGAACTGAATCATAATATTTGTGCATTTTCTGCACTGTAAAACTTGAAAGAACTACTGAATCGAAACACTAAGCGAAGTACTCAATTATTCAAATATTCATTTTATGAGGAGCTCTAAAATTGATAAATGTGCAGCTAGCTAATCTATGTGATCGGTAAGGTCGGCATCGGATTTGGAAGCATCGGAACACCCCTAGAAAAGCTACATTTTGTCTTTTTAGGCCTGCGTCTGCAGAACATTTTGGGTTTGTTTTGTTTTGTTTTTTTTGCAGGGTGGGGGTGGGGGGCATTTGAATGTATATATTGTACAAGAGAATGACAAGGACCCAAGTACTGTTTCTTACCTTCCAGCCACTTCCCGCCTCTCTGTAGTAGGGAAAGTTATCACAGATCCACTGGTAGATCTCGCTCAATGTCATTTTCTTCTTTGGCGAGCTGTTGATGGCGAACGTAATGAGGCTGGCGTAGCTGTAGGGCGGCTTGCCGTCCTTGTGCTGTTGCACCTCTTCCTGGTCCAGCGTGGTGTTGGGATCGAGGAGGGCGCTCTTCTTGCCCATGCCTGGCCCGTGGCCGTGCTGGCCATCGGCTTTGCGAATGGCCGCCTGCATGGTAAGCTGAGGAAGCCAATCCATGGAGGTGAGGCTACTTTCCAGCTCCGACGTCATGTTGACGACAGGCCGGGCAGCAGGGAGGGGGGGAGGGGGGTAAACCCTAAAGCCTGGAGGTAAACCGGTGGCCTCTGTTGGAGCTCCACTGACTCTTGGGGAGAGGAGCAAGTAGGGGTGATGAACTGAAGTCTGGGCCCTCAGATCAGGACATCAGCATGCCTCTCCAAAGCGAGGCTGTGGAAACAGAACACAACATGCTTGTATCAGTTAACTGTACATTGTAGTAAGAACTGACTACTTGTTTTGATGATGGAACTCAAGATGTTAGCAGCAGAATTAATTGTGAAGTCTACAAAAGCATTTTGTCTGGCAATTTACTAGAAAATGGAGAGAAGCTTCATCATGTAACAAGACCCAAAACACCCTGCCAAAACAACAAAGGACTTAAACTGGCCACGTCAATTACTGAACCGTAACCCTGTAATGTCTGTATTTTACCTTCTGAAAAAGAAACTGGAGTGAGAAGCCCACAAAAACAAACAAGAATTGCGATAAAGGCCTACAAAAGCATTTCAAATGAAGAATGCAACAGGCTGGTGAAGTCAAGAGGTCACAGGCTTGATGCAGTGATCGCAAGTAAGGGTTACAACCACTTCACTTTAAGTTCAAAACCCCATTCCAATATTTCTGTTCCCTTGAAAAGTGGGTGGCTTCAACCAAAACTTGCTCGATCCTGAGTTGTTTAACACATCGACATGTAAATACCATGGAATAAAAGCTGGAATTCGACATTGTGGGTGACTAGAGTAAATGTCGATCACTAGCTAGAGCAGTGCTTCTTAACCTGGGTTCGACCGAACCCTAGGGTTTGGTGAATCGGTCTCAGGAGTTTGACGGGGGGGTTCGACGGAGCCTCTGCCATGGAGTTTAAGACACACCTGACTCAACATCCCAATTAGTTACGACACGGCCATTTGGCCATCACTGGCTGCAGATGATCACATGACATTGCTTGACCAATCAGTGCTGTGGGAAATTTGGTTCACTCAGTAATCACCGCATGCCTGTCATGATAGTATGTGACGTGATTTTTAAAAATGCTAACGATGTCGAGCAAAAAAAGTAAGTGGTCGGACGAATATGTACAACGTGTATTCACATGCATCACGCAATGTGATGGAACTCAGCGTCCTATCTGCATGATTTGTCATGCCAAGTTGAGCAACTCGTCTCACACAGGCAAAACTGAAGGAACACTTATTGAAACTGAATGGACATGGGGAATACAAAAAAAAATGTATTTACTTTTTTCTGTTTTTAATAAATGTGCTTTTTATATCTTGAATTTGTAAAAAAAAGTATAGATATTTTTCACTAATGAAGGGTTCGGGGGCGGCCCGGTAGTCCAGTGGTTAGCATGTCGACTTCACAGTGCAGAGGTACCGGGTTCAATTCCAGCTCCGGCCTCCCTGTGTGGAGTTTGCATGTTCTCCCCGGGCCTGCATGGGTTTTCTCCGGGTACTCCGGTTTCCTCCCACATTCCAAAAACATGCATGGTAGGCTGATTGAACACTCTAAATTGTCCCTAGGTGTGAATGTGAGCGTGGATGGTTGTTCGTCTCTGTGTGCCCTGCGATTGGCTGGCAACTGATTCAGGGTGTCCCCCGCCTACTGCCCGAAGACGGCTGGGATAGGCTCCAGCACCCCCCACGACCCTAGTGAGGATCAAGCGGTTCGGAAAATGAATGAATGAATGAAGGGTTCGGTGAATGTGCATATGAACTGGTTGGGTTCGGTACCTCGAACAAGTTTAAGAACCACTGATCTAGAGTATTGCGTAAATTACATACGGACAGCACATTGATCTAGTGGTGAGCATGAATGCCTCAGTTTTGAGGTTTGGGGTTCGAATCTATGCTATTTGCATTTTTTTTTTTTGTCCGGGTACTCCGGCTTTCCCGCATCTGCCAAACTCATGCATGTCAGGTTCACTGAGAATTCTAAATCGTCCATAGGTGTAAATGTGACTTTGAATGTTTCTTTATCTAAATGTGCCCTGTAATTGACTGGCATCCAGTCCAGCTTCTCGCCAAGTGAGCTGGGACAGGCTCCAGCTTACCCGCAACCCATATAAGGACAAGCACAATATTAAACGGATGGATGGATGTTAACACAGCAATCCATTTCAACGTGGTTGTTTTTTCCATCTTAAAAATACAACACGTGTGTTTTGTATTGGACTTCGATGATGTTTTAAGTGAGCAAAAAACAGAAGTTGTTTGCATGTTGTCCGCACATGCTTTAACTGGCCGTGCAGCAGATTATGAGACCGCCACCTTCTCTTCCACCTACTACTCTCAGAGCTGACTCATAGCTCGGACTCCATCTGCACCAAGAGAGAGACATAGAGAGAGACATAGAGAGAGACATAGAGAGAGAGACATAGAGAGAGAGAGAGAGAGAGAGAGAGAGAGAGAGAGAGAGAGAGAGTAAATGCTGGGCAATTGTTTTCACAACTGCCAGCCAAATGGGGCAATGGCTCAGGAAGAATTCTGACTCTCTTGTGGCTAGTAAGCCCCCTTTCCCCCTCCGTCTGCTCTGCCTTCCAGCTTGCCCGCCCACTCGCCTTTGCAGAGCCTCTGCCATAAACAAGGCAGGCAGTGTCGTCTTGCAAACTGTCCTCCACCCAATGTGTGTCTGCAACAGCCTGTCTCGTTGTCCATTCTGGCACACTGCCCTGCTTGTCCGAAAATAGAGAGGCAGACTAGATAAGCCCTAAATTCTAAATGTAGGTGAAGATGGGTATCGGTGCAGGGGGGGAAAGGAGTGGGATGACACCTTGAACTGGTTGATGGCAACAACAAACTGTCAGCATTTTCTGTGATTTCTTTTTCATTTTCACATGTGTCGGGCTAGCAATAAACTGTTCTGAGAGTCCTCAATAAGCCAAACACTATCATCTAAAAAAAAAAAAAAAAAAAAAAAAGTCTTTGTGCACATGTGAAATTGTATGCCAGTCTTTTCAGAGAATTTGCTAACGGTGATTCAAAAGTGCCGCAGCGAACGCGATGCTGACTCACTCTGATACCCTGCATCAAAATGACATTTTTCAACTCCTTCACTTACCTCCAAGGACCTTGAAAGAGAGGTTCTTACCCACCTGAAAAAGCCTTGTGCCACCTACGCTGCTGAGGTCAACAAAGTACGCCATCTAAAGCTCAGAGTCCAATTTGAGTTTTCCCCTGTCTGCCTAATCATCCATCAAGGGCGATTAACCACAAGCTCTCTTAAGTCCATTTTAGTCGACCGCTACAGTGGTACCTTGACTTATGAGTGATCCCACATAAAAGTTTTTAGAGATCCAATCAGTCTATTGGCTCAAATTTTGCTTTGACTTGCCAGCAAACAATTTGTGATATGAGCCTGAGATGGTGGCAGTGAACTCAACTCAACTCATCTCACACCAAAGCAGCAGTTTGGTAGATCGTAAACAAAAAACAGAAGCGTTCAGCTATTTAATGCCAATCCCATTCCCAATTTACTGCCTAAATTAACATAAAATAAAGAGAATTACATGTGTATTTAAAAAGATCACACCAGGGAGGTTTGGTTGTGTTGAAAAGCAATTCAATCAGGATCATGGTTGAAAAGTTATATATTTGTTTGCATTATTGTTGTAATCTGATTTATGGTTTTTTTTGGGGGGGGGGGGGTATTAAGACCTAGTGAAAAGCAACCAACCCAGTCAGGGGTCAGACGCAAAACTTTCAGTCAACTAAATGAACTCCAGTCCACAGAGTACATGCTAAGCTGAGTACAGTACACACTTATGAACCAAGTGCCAGTGTGCACGGTTACAACACCATAATCAAGTTCTCAGACACCTCAGCCAGAGGCCTGATTAGTAACTTTATCATGAGTCGCTCTTTTGGGCTGAGGATTAGCATCTGACGGGGTAGTGTGAAAATAACAGAGGAGCTATGAACACCCAGATCAGGGAGCTCATTGCGGAGTTAACGTAGGTAAAAGGGACGTAAATACACACCTCCTTCTGACTCATCAGGTATAAAGAAGATCAAGGCTGGCTACAGATCAAAGTTATACTTGATGTTGTAGAGAATGATCGTTAAAAAGTGGACGGAATTGTTTTTTTGTTTTTTTTCCATCCCAATTTAAAATGAGCCTCGCACATGACTGAATATACTCTTAGTTGCAAATTGTGAAAGTGATTTTGATGTTCTATTTGGCATACATTTGCTTGGCTTTTTGGGAATATAGTGAACCGCTGTTCCCGACCCTCCACGTAATAGGTGAGAAAAGCATGAATGATGTGCCTTTAAGAGGGGGGGCCTGGTGGAATGACATGAGGTGCATGAGTGATCATTGTTTTTTTGTGTTCTGCTGTTCACCTGGCAAAAAAACAGCGAACAAAGTCAGTTGACTATGACTCCATTTCCACGTGTGCAATACAAAAATCATCTGAAAATTTTGGGGGGGTGGGGGGGGGCATCAACGGGGGAGCGAAAACCTCACTATTGGTGGCAGATAACTAGCTACCTAGCATCGCTACATCAGTTTGTTCCTGCTCTGACCTTCTTTCCAAAAGTGAAAAGGAGCTAAAAAATATCTACTCAGTATCCAGCTGATTATCTTGAGCGACATACGAAACAACAGCCCTGTGTTCTGCTATTCATAAATGAAACATGCATCCTCCCTTTCAGTGGTTTTAGAATGCGTCCATTTTCAAACTTTCAAAAGTTCCCTCACCGAATCATCGTTGTCATATAAAAATATTCGATTATGGCTATCATTCTCATATTAAAGTATAAATAGTCCTTTCAATTTCGTAAAATAATAATAACCACAAACTGTATTGCCCTACAGAAGATAAGAATATTATATATTGTCGACTGGCTGACAGATAAAATGTGCTACATTAAAGAGTCAAATTTCGCCAGTGGAAATGGGTGTCATATATCATAGAAATAATTATCTACCAGGCTTCTATAAGGCACACAGCAGGAAGACATTTCAAAATGAAGTAAACTGCTTTGCCGTCAGCTGGTCAGAGAAGTTTGCGCTTGCCAAGTCCATTGATCTCAAAGAGTGGGAGGTTAGCGGAGGCTCAGCAGCCAATTTAATATCTGTTATGGGTACTGACATGAGCAGATGATTATGGATTATTTTTCCATGTCAACAGAATTCCAAAAGCGACAAGGCTAGGTCAAGCTCCT